TGTGGGGCTTGAACTCATGAACCGTGAGATCATGACCTGAGCCGGTCAGATGCTCAACTGACTGAACCACCCAGGCATCCCTCTTTTAAAAATTTTAATGCTACAAATGAATCTGATATATCTATATATGTATGCATGTGTTATAAAGCCTAACATCACAAATACCCATGAACTTACCACTCAACCCAGGAGCTAGAATGTCACCACTAAATCCCACTCATGTGTTTTCCCCCATCTCATCCCCCTGCCTCTGCCTGCCTCCTCCAAGTAGCTATCCTGAATTTTGAATTTATTAACCTTTTTCTTCTATTCCACCAAGGATTTTCCCCATTTTATATATTCCTAAACAATACATTGTTTAGTTTTATTTTTGAGCTTTATAAAAATGGATCATACCTGTTTATGTCTTCTAGGTCACACGCGCGCGCGCACACACACACGCACACACACTCATCCATATTACTTCATCTAGCTATAGTACACTCATTTCACTGCAGTATATTTAATTTTGTGAATAGTATACCTTTTTTTTTTTTTTTTTGGTCAGAGACCTAGATTGTTTCCAGGTTTTTTGCTAATATAACACAAAGCAGCTGTGCACATTCATGCACATATCTCCTGTTATATACAAGTTTAGGGTTTAAAAAGTAGATGCTGAGTTTGTACGTATCCTCATCTGTCTTTAAGTGTATAGAAAAAAAGTCTGGGAGAAAATACAATCCTTCTTGTTGTCTTTTGGCTCATAGTCCAGAGAATCCACAGCAGGATCTCTGTTGGATCACGCAGGGTGTACTGCAGACATTAGGGGGAGCTGTGCATGTGGACCTAGAGGGCAAGAGGTGCCTCTTAGGAGTTTGTGCAAAACCAAGTGGATTCTCTGTTAAATAAATAAATATTTAATAAAATAAATTTTATTGAAATAAGATTAAAAGGTACAGATTAATAAAAATAACTGAAAACCATAAAATAAAGAGCACTGTGTTCCATCCTGTTCCTCAATCCTCATGAAAGCTGTATCGAGTTTTATGTGACGGGGGAGGCATGGGGTGATATTTATAGGGACCTGTGATGGTTCTCCCAGGTTGCAAATTGTTTTCTAGCAAGAACATGGAGACCCATTAAATTTTTCCACAAAATAAATTTATAAATGAACAACTTGAGCTCCTCATTTCTGTGGGAGTGGGGTGGAGTGATGGCATTCACTGTCCTTGACTGAAACACCCCTTTTGTTTTCTACAGAATCTAGTAATAAGACCTGACAAACAGTAATTTCTCTAATCTTTTACACATTTCTGCCATAACCGTATAAATTATGATCAGAATTGGCTTGGTATTTCTAGTACTAGCTCTTTGATCCTGTTTTACTGGCCTAATAGAAACTTCTTAGAAGATGCCTTTGGGGCATCTGGGTGGCTCACTTGGTTAAGCATCTGACTCTTGGGTTTCAGCTCAGGTCATGATCTTTTTTTTTTTTCTTTTAATTTTTTTTAATCTTTATTTACTTTTGAGAGCAAGAGACAGAGTGTGAGCCAGGGAGGAACAGAGAGAGAGGGAGACACAGAACCCGAAGCAGGCTTCAGACTCTGAGCTGTCAGCACAGAACCTGACACGGGGCTTCAACTCACAGAGCATGAGGTCATGACTGAGCTGAAGTCTGATGCTTAACCGATGAGCATCAGAGCCACCCAGGTGCCCCATTTTCTTTTAAAAACTTAATTATTCTATGATCTAATGACCATTATTCTCCTTTTCCAGGTTGCCCTGGAGGACTATTTAAAGAAAATTCAACAGGTGGATTTTGACATATTCCACCCATCTTTACAGCAGAAGAATACACTACTACCATTATCTTTGTATGTTCAGTCATGGAGAAAAAGATATTAAAATAATTTTATGGCATTGATCTTTACTTTTATTAGTTTTACAGAAGTATACTAGTTACGGTTCTTGTTTACAAATAACAGGAGATGTTTACTTAAGAATTTTTAGGATGGGTGTGTGCAGCTCACAGGCTTGATGAGATGTTGCTGGGGGACCAGAGTGCCACAACACTGCCCAGGCTCTGCCACAGGCACCAGGGCTGTCACCAGCAGCCCAGACAGTGTCGGTGTCTGCTGTGCTCTTGTCAGGTCGGAGCCCCCAGGAGGGAGTGTGGTTTGAGCTGTACTGATGCTGCAGGCCGTGTTCAGCCACCAGGGGGCAGGAGAGTTAACGTCTCCTCCCTGCCTCACCGCTGGAGAAGAGCACAGGGGCTCAAGGAGCACCCAGCTTGCGTGTGGAGCAGCCACAACTCGAGGGGCCAGTACAGCTGGGGGTCATGAAGAGCGAAGTTAATATTCGAGGAGTGTCAATCACTATCGTGAGGGCTTTATCTCCCTAACATTTCGTCTTTACGACTCTGAAAATTTACCATGATAAAAGAACTTCTTTAAGGTAAGCTAGCTGGCTGTCAAGAGCTAGAACCCGGGGCGCCTGGGTGGCGCAGTCGGTTAAGCGTCCGACTTCAGCCAGGTCACGATCTCGCGGTCCTTGAGTTCGAGCCCCACGTCAGGCTCTGGGCTGATGGCTCAGAGCCTGGAGCCTGTTTCTGATTCTGTGTCTCCCTCTCTCTCTGCCCCTCCCCCGTTCATGCTCTGTCTCTCTCTGTCCCAAAAAAATAAACGTTGAAAAAAAAAAGAGCTAGAACCCTAATTTGACTTTAAAAAGCTGACTTGAAAGTTTCACTGTTTTTTTTAACCCCGCTGCTTTACAATCTGTCCCTCAGCGTTATGACCAAAACTTCATTAACAAAATGTGTATTAATGTAAAGTATATTACCAAAATTGTATTGAGCATTCATAAAGGGGATACTACATTTTTAAAAACTAGTATACTAGCTAAGCTACTAGTATAAGCTCTGGCTGTATACTTTCATCCATGTTCTCATTTGATTTTGAAAAAGAGAACTAAGGATTTTTGGGGGGTAATTAAAAAATATTAATCATAAAATATATACTAACTACAAAAAATGTAGTTGTGTGCACTTGCTGGTCATTGGAAGATCTGGACTCTGAGTCTCTGACTGCAAGGCCAGGGTTATGCCACAGTTTCCTTTTCCCGCCCTTTCAGTGGTCCTGTCTCCTGCCCACTCACACCTCTGGTGTTCCGTCCCTGCATCTCATCTCTAAACCTTCGGTTGGAATTAGTGCCTACTTCCATTGTGAATCAGTGATGGCTTAAAATACTACATTTTTGCAAAAAAAACTCAAACCGAGAGCTGCTTGAGGGCAAGACTACATTGTTTTATTCATCGTGGGGTCCCACAGCACCCAGAATGGCTTCTGATATAGAGTACGTAGAGAATAACAAGTGTGTGTCTGTGTGAACATGCAAGGTGGTTGTATGTGTGAGTATACTCTTGACAGTGATGCTGAAGGAATATCCTTATAGTTTGATTCTGTGACTTTAGAGCCTTGTAGCTTATCTACAAGCGGCTAGTACAAGGAAATGGGACACGTTCCTCTTGGGATTCGGAATGGCCCAGAGCTGAAGAGTTCATCAGAGCCATTCTTTGTTAGGAAGCATTGCCTGTGGGTCTTCCCAGGTCAAATCTGGCAGCAATCGTCTACTAAGCATCTTGGTTCCTGTCTAAGGGTCTTAAAAAGAAGGGTTTAAACACGCAAGTGGATTACTGGATTCCTTATTGGCTCAGAAACCAATTTACTATTAGGTAAATAATTTCTTTTTTTTTTTTTTTTAATTTTTCAACGTTTGTTTATTTTTGGGACAGAGAGAGCAGAGCATGAGGGGGGAGGTCAGAGAGAGGAGACACAGAATCAGAAACACGGCTCCAGGCTCTGAGCCATCACCGGAGCAGGGGCTCGAACTCACGGACAGCATGACCTGGCTGAAGTCGCGCTCAGCAGACTCATACCCAGAAGCCCTAAGGTAAATAATTTCAAAATACTCTCTAAGCCATTTTAAATTTGATGCTTAGAAATTTGGATGAACTCAAGTTTGCAGTCTCCTGGAGATTAAAGTGGGGTCTTACTCCGTGACATTTACCGTACTATTAACTTCATGGCAGAAAAGACACTCCCTTAGATGGTGCCAACATTGTTTTTCACTTTTCAAATTTCTGGGATTGTTTTTTATTAGAGCATTGTAAAGGAGTCCGATACGTTTTCAAACGATGTAAGATGTATTTTGGTATTGAACAGGTGGAGAGCAACAGATGACCAATGTTAAGTATAAATTACAGATTAATTTCAATGTAGGTAAAGTTGCACATCGTCATAAAATACATTCTGAGTAGTTCCCACTCAACTGGCAGGACTCTTCCTCTCTTTTTGATTAAATGTCTCCTTTTGACAAAATTAAATTACTCTTGAGAAACGTAACAGCAGCTAACACTCAGTGGAGCCCGAATTTGAACAGACGAAAGCTCTGTACCATTATGCATTAATCTTTACAGAGTTACTTCTCTGTATTTATTTTCCAAAGGATAAAACTGCCTCAGAGATGTTCAGTTCGAGGTCACATAGCCATTATAACTAGAGCTGGATGTCAAACCCACATTAGTTCATTGCCAAAGCCCACAACCCATGTATTTTTACCATTCTTGAGACTGTAAAATAAACGGCCAAGTTTAAAAGCTCCAGGGCACGACTTTTTCAAAAAGGAGTATTATTGTATGTATTTTAGGTACAGATTAGGTTAAAAAGTACGGTTACATAAATTCCAACTACAAATTAGGTGAGAGAAATAAATAGGCAACTGGAATAGATACTAAGTGCTGGCCATGGGGTCTGTACAGGAGAGACACGTTGCCACTTTGGAGGTCAAAAAGGTCTTCCAGAGAAGGTAGCATGTGACAGTGTCAGGAAGGTTGGGTAGGACCCAGAGTTTGGGGAGGGGTGTAGCTGTAGGGAGGTCCTGGCTGAGGCGGCAGTGGGAACAAAGGCCAGGAGGCAAAACGGATAGCCTGTGTGAAGACCCAATATTTTGGCTTTAACTTAAGTAAAAAAGAACAGAATGTAATGTCCAGAGTTCTCAGAAAAGTCTGTGAATAAAATGTGGCCACATCCTCTGGTCCAGTGAGACATTCTGAATGAAGATCAAAGAGTTGTGAGTTTATATTTTGCCTGTTTCACCAAATCCCTACGTGCCCTAGGATCTGTTTTAGCTCTTATAAATAGGATTTCTCTGAAGACACTGGCCTAATAACCTTGTCCAGAAAGATCCACAAAGTTGTAAACATTATGCAGACAGTTATTGAAAACAAAACATTATCCCGTTTGTACCTGTAAGGAGGACTGAGCGAGAAACCACTAACACCCAGAACTGAGAAGGGTAATGGCAGTGGGTTGGAAGGAGCGGGGAGGAGCTGGGGAGTGAGGGAAGAATCCATTAAGTAACTGGCACTTCAACAAGGCCTGCTTTCTCCTCTGAGAAACATATTTCTTGGCTACCTAAAAAGGTATTTCTAAAAAATTCAGACCCTTCAGATCAGAAAGAGGGTGATAAGCAAGGAATGTCATTACACTTATGGAACAATGGATAGATGGATGTGAATTTTTCCATCAAATCGGTATATACCAGGTAAAGGGGTTTGTTCAGTAAAAGGGATATTTGGCACATTAAATATGTAACTCATCTGTAGTATAAGCTGAGTAAAGACATTTTAAAAGTTTAGATACAGAGTAGTATGGTGTTTTCAAGCACTTCTTATAAGAGTGTGGGCTTCTTCTAAGAGTGTGGACTGCCTGGGTTCAAAACCCAGGTCCACCACCCTGATAGCTGTGTAACTGCAGCGAGTTACATGAACTCCAGTGTCTCAGTTGCTCCATTTATAAAATGGGCAAAATTATATCTATCTCAACAGTTGTTATGAGGAGTGAATGAATTAATACACGTAAAGTGCCTGGAACAATGACTTAGATGTTCTAAATAAACATTAAATGATGTGTCCGTAATACACAGAAGTCACACACCGGCAGCCTGAACCAAATGAGGCCAGCAGGCAGGGCCTCTGAAAAAGAACAAGACACTGAATGCCTTTGGGCTGAATGTGTACTCTGCATCCGGCCTCAGGCCCCAGGACAGGGGTCTCCCACCCAGCCCTACTCCTGTGTCGGTGTTACTTGCCTGCTCTCTAAGCAGTCGTGCTTGCCGGAGAATTTGTGGGTGGTGGATTAATAACAAGGGAACGCCAATCTGAGGCTGGCTTCACAAGCAGGCCCACTTTCTCCCCCAACCATATGGTAACTGTTGTTGGTGCATCTGTCCCTCGCTCAAAGTTCTCTGAGTGCAAGACAATGTTTTATTCATCTCTGTGTCCCCAGAACCTCCCATAAACCCTAGAGCCGCTCCATGCACCTTTGTATCTGAATGAACATGCTGTGGCATAGGGGTGATGGGCACTGAGGGGATGTGAACACGATGGGGCTCGTATGTGCAGGCCGAACTGGGGGTGCGTGTCAAGGGCGTGGGTGCTGCGTGGTACACAATGGCATTCAAGAAACAAGGCTGATGGGCACCGTGCAAAGCAGGGTGTGAGTGAGGAAGGAAAGATAAAGAAATTACAGACACACTCAGGTGTCTGGATTTTAAGAACGGGCACGAAATTTGAAAATAAATACTTCGCAAATGGTCCATAATACATGTATTTTGTGTATATGCACACGGATATTAATGCAGTATTACTGGTGTAATCATTTCTTGGATAAGGAGTACCTTTGAGTCAAATATGAGATACAGTGTCTTTATTCTTAGTTGATAAGTCTGAGGGGACCTTTGATTACCTGTACAAATACTGTTTTCCTCTGAGTCACCCTTTTCTCATTAAACAGTCCTGTTTGGTGTACTGTGCACTTTCCCTTTTTATTTTTAATCACGATTAATCT